CTTTTTCCAGTCTCTGCGGACTTCACCTGACTGCCATGACCTTTCAAATATCACGGAGAGTGGCTTGACAGCCTCATCAGCCAATTCCCTCAGGGCTCTGGGATGCATCTCATCAGGTCCCATAGACTTGTGTATGTTCAGGTTCCTCAGGTGGCCTCGAACCTGATCTTCTCTTAGAGTGGGAGGGGCTTTGCTCCCCCAGTCCCTGCCTTGCAGTCCATCCACTCCAGAGGTGTGGGAAGAGAGGCTGCCAGTGAAGACTGAGGCAAAAAAGTTGTTGAGTACCTCAGCCTTCTCCTCATCTGTTGTTACCAGTTTGCCAGTCGTGTTCATTGGGGAGGTACGCTTTCTTTGACTTCCGTTTTCTGGTTGACGTACCTATAGAAGCCCTCATTATTCTTTGCATCCCTTGCCAAGTTCAGCTCCAGCTGCACCTTGGCCTTCCTGACCCCATCCCTACACAACCGGGCAATTCTTCCCAGGATACCTGTCCCTGCTGCCACTGCCTGTGCATTTCCTTCTTGCCCTTTAATTTGACCAGCAGGTCTTGACTCAGCCATGCCGGTCTCTTGCCTTCCTTTCCCGATTTCTTACACATGGGGACTGAGAGAAAAATTATACATGTAAGAAGAGAAGTTACCAAAGAAGATGGACACTGTTCAGCATTTCCACACTGATCTCTTCCAAGAGAAAGTTCGACTGGACATCTGATTGCTAGGCTATCCCTGTCCGCTGTGCTCAGCGTTTCACGGTTCTGACTGAACCTCGATTTCATCACTGAAACCAGAAAGGAAATTTCAGATTTTAATATCAAAAGATATTATTACATGTCTACACTGATATACTGTGTAATGCAGGGCAGATCATTTTATTAGTGGAGGAAATATTTTTTCCTGTCTATTTCAGTGGGTGGAGTTGAGAATCCAAATGTGTAAATAAAGTTTAACTGTAAGTGCAAACAAATTTACCTTGCTGTCCAAGTCAACACGCAAGTTTGGCAATGATAAGATACATTTCTTAGGAAAACAAGAGGATAGGTTCATCTCTACCTCTTTAGACTTTCCAAATCCCACTTGAAAGAACTGCAAATTTGGAGGGTTTTTCCATTTTCTGTTAGAAATGTTGTATTTATACTATTAAATGGCTACACACTGCGCACTATAAAGTCTGTTCAACTGTATTACGATTCATTCACAAATACAACATGCTTGCTGCCTTTGAGCTAAAATGTTCCTTCTATACCTTTACTATTCTTTTCAGAATATTTTAACAGCATACATACCCTGCACATTTTTAAACTTACAACCAAATCCAATTGCTGTTGAAGTAAACAAACTTTTTTTTTTTTTTACATTAAAGTATTTAATTAGTGAAACAATCATTATCAATGTAACAAACTGAAAAATACAGCAACTTGATACAAGACTGAGGTAACAAAATACTTTGCCAAAAACCTAGATTCCAACGTCAGGGTTATTATGGGTGAGACAGTTCACAAGAATTATAGAAAGAATCCTTACACAAATGGCATGCAGTGGACTGCTGGAAAATACAGCCAAAAATAGTGCAACGGTTTTCACACAAAACAAACCAAAATGTTGAAATTGGTTTACATTATAATGTGACAAATAAGTTGCAATTTGAAAACTACTTTCTTTGCCTCGTTTTAGTGCTATTTGGAAAAACATGCATTTTGGCACTGAATTAACATCAAAATTGCGCATTAATAAATTAATAATATTGCCTACATACATTTTATATCTTCACAATTCTGAAAATAGTAATTCTGAGATAATGTTTATTTTTACACTACTATTGCAGTTATTCTCTTTGATGGATGAAAACTTGTATGGTTTGTGATATTTTTGTGACAATGCTGTATTAATCAGTACTGATATGCAGTACATTGTATTTCAATAGCAGCTTTCAATTCACATTAAAAGTACTAGATGACAGCAAATGGTACCAAATGACAGCGTAAAAACTCAAATCAGCAGCTACAAATTGTTTAATGCTAAAAACTCATTTAAAATTGGCTTATGATATTTTAATAATATTCTTACACTGCCATCATTCTGAATTTTTTTATATTGTGCAGAAATGTCACAATTGTGCTATACTGAAAAGATGTTTACCTGCCTATTGTGTAAAACTATTGCTTGCTATGTTAATCTTTCTTCTATATAATGCTTTTTACATTCAAGTGATAGTAGTGTGAGGGAATTCAAGTTGCTTTTGACATATTTCCAAATTCCAAGGTTTTGAGCAGGATTTGAGTTTGAGGATTGAGTAGGACTGAAGGATTTAATCTCTCCACAGAGTCATCTTTTGTCAGTGACAAATGATTGCATCTAAGAATCATTCATAAATATTGCCTTACATTCACGCCACACTGTTTTGGGGCCCATCATGGTTTCTGGCAAAGATGCTTCCGTTCTAGTTGGGAATCTGTTTTACAAGCAAGTGAAAATGGGCCCTTTTGTAACTTCTCCAACAGGCTCTATGGCTTGTAATTCTGAGTAAAAGTGTATTTTTGAAGGCTAGAACACTCTACCTCTTGTACATATAATAACACATATAACACTTTAGAGACCCTTAAATTCTAAAAGCCATTAAATTCTGAGTGTGTACAGGCTCATTCTATTGCTACTGTATCAGTCACCAGATATTGTTCTTTCCAAGGGAGGCTTGTTAAACATTACTAAAAGTTGTTACAACATCCATTAGTTTATGTCAATCGCTATATGCTGGAAACAACATCACAAGTCCTCACTGGTGTTCACTTCCACTACATCACATTAGAAATGAGTAGGTATTTACATGCTTCTAATGTATGTACATTTCATGACAATAAGTGTTCCATTTTAAATTTAGCTTATATTTAAGACAGACCACGTTATTCCCTTTTAAGGGGACAGGACTACTAATAAAGTAACTTTAAAAAAACCTCTTGACAGTTCTGTTTTGGTTAGTGTGTCATCATTTTGGTCACCGTTACGCACACAGTTCAAACCCTATGAATGCTAATAACACACAATACACAGGGTCATGGGTGGCACATTCATTAAAATGGCAGTCCACGTAACACTTGCATCTTCATGAATAAACTCACTGATAACTAATTACAATAGTCCACAGGTGCAAAATAATTCAGATAGCATATTCTAACAGTCTGAAGTCATTTACTGGTGACAGGATTTCACCACATTCAAAAGCTTCTACACTGTCTCTAATGGAATTGGATGCCCTGCCCTCACAGATACTGATGCTTTTCCTAGTTCAAAGTTGTCTTAATTTAGCAAAAAAGGAGAAAAAAAGGTGTATTTTGCATTGCCGCTCCTTTTCACACAACTCCTGAGCTATCAAAGAAACGTTATCAACTCTACGTACACTTTCACATGTCCCAGGATCTAAATGCAGTTGTTGTCAGCAACTGGTTTTATTGAAAAGCTGGTATGTATTAGGCTTGGTTCTCAGGATTGTAACATGAACACTTAAAATAACACAAAACTTACAGTTGACCTATATTTAACAATACAGGTGGGGTTTTTTGTTGTTGTTGTTAGAGAAGTTTCAAAATCAAAATTTAGAAAATCATGCAAGTCCATAGAATAAATACTCCTAACGCCAGGGAGCTTGTTCTAATATAGGCTCTGTTCAATTAAACTTCCATTTGTTTCACAGTTTGTAAGCTAGAGGTTGGCTTGCAGATTTCTCCTCTATGCATTATCAAGAAACTCAGAAGAGGTTTTCCAGTGCTTGATGAAGTCTGAATACTGATGCCTTATGGCAAAAGAGTTTCAAACAGAAAAAGTGCTGAACTTAGCATGGGAACAGAAAAAACACTCTGACCACAGGAGTGCTCAGGCATAGCAGGGATACAGCTATGGATGTAGAGAGCGTTCTTTCAGGGGAGAAGGCTCAGCTACATTCTTTTTTTTGTTCTCTGGACACTGGTGTGGAAGCTTCTTTGTACTTGCTCCACTGTCAGACAGTCTTGCCTAGCCTTTGTTGCCTTCAGGATTTCATAACAGCAGTACCATGTGCCAGTACTATATGTCATAAAGGTGCATCGTGTACTGGAAATGAGCGGAGCTGAGTCATCCACAAAAAGACAGAGCAGAAACAATTATATGGAATCACTCTGAGAAGCCAGGGCCTTGTGATACGTAACACTGGATTACCTGCTTCCCTGTACCAAGGGATTTAAGATGAACAACATTCAGACTGAAGAGAAAACCCAAACTTGTAAGCAACTATGCCACTAGTAAGAGAATGAAAGACAACCTTTAGCACAACATAAATTTAAACAGCCTTAAATCCATAGTCAGGTCATTCCTGAGTAACATAACTGAATGAAAAGAAAACTAACTGTCCTGTGCCAAAATACGTTTTTCCCAAATAGCTCAAATGTGAACAGCAGAATTGTCCAGAGATTTGATACAAAATCTGAGGCAGCCACATTGCCAAGCAACTCAGTGCACTTAGATTATAAAAATGTTGTTCCACAATTTTCTATTCTAATTGACACTTTGCAGCAAGTTAACACTGTCAATCATTCTGTGCATTAGAAAGAATTGAAACCCAACATGGGCCAAATATTCTTCAGTCACACAAAGCAGCTTAACAATAAAAAGAACCATTTAAAAAAAGAATAGGCAGAAGATATGATGCTCAGTTTGTGGTCTAACATCAGTTCACGGCAGTCTCTGACCACGAAAAGTTGAGGGCTCTAGAATCCTGCAGGAGACAGGATTAATCTTCTGTCCATCTAACTTGTCTGCTTTCACTCAGTGCATGAGACTATATCTGGTCCTAAAGACAACATTCACTTTCTGCTTTTAAAAGCTGTGCCAGAATCACTTTCAAGTTACACAGGAAAGTGCTGAAATATTTGTGGCTGGCTCATGTCAGGAAAACCATTCTCCTCTTCCTCCTTAGAGAACAATAGCCTGTTTCTTCAGTTTGGCACTTGAAGTTGCACCAGGTAGGAGAGCAAATTATTCGAATGACATTAGATTAGCAGGTACCTGGAAGAGAATGTAAATTATTCAGCAGTATAATGCTCCTGAGCCTATTACGGCATTGGTAAACTGCAAGGTTACAAAATAAGAGTGGGCTAATCATTTACTATCCAACATGAAAAGTGTAATCAGTCCCAAACAGGCCCAAAAGAGGGCTGATCCCATAACTGAAAGGAAAGACAGACTCAAATGATTTTTCTATTCATGGACCAAATCCAGCCAAAGTATTCTACGAAGTCACCAGCATGCATGGGGGGCGTGTGTGTGTGTGTAAAGAAGATTCTTGAGCTGCATCCTGTTTTAGGTCCTATGTGGATCAGCATCCTATTAATATAACCTTTGGAAATCCTTTTAAGAATGAACATTTTCCTCAAGAGAAGAATGAGGCTGCTATATAAAGGACAAACATAGCATTTTATCGGACACTCTCTTCAATGGCACAGACTGGTGTAGACCCAGTCATGGGAGTAAACGCTAACGTGTTTCCTTTCTTTGTCTATGAGAAAGCCAATCTGAAGGGGGGCTACCTCACTTGAAGTGGTGACTGTAGAGGTTATATGCTGTTAAGGTAACCAAACCTATAGCTAGACCTGCACAAATCCTGATTAGGTGGGAATTCTGTAATTTTAAATAATTTTTATTGCTCCTCCTATTGAAAAACTGGATCAATGTACAAAAAGAGGACTTATGTCTGTCCCCACAGAACACAGATTTTCTGTGTGAACACAGATTGCAAAGAGGTATCTTTTCTAGTAAGGATTTTTGGAAAATATGAAACAGTGGGTAGAAATAAGTTTTACAGCCTTACCTGAGGCTTGTTGCTTTTGCATGCATCATCCAAATGCTTATGCCATAATATTGCGTGAAACCTTGACCCAGTCTGGAACTTGTAAACATTGCCTACAAAAATAAGAAAATCAAAAGCTCTAAATTTGCAGACAGACGTGTAGTTTCAAGGGATTCTAATTTCTGTGCAGAAGCCAAAGTCCTGAAGTAAACTGTTAAATTAATTTGCACCTCAAATCCTCAAACAGGATGTTGCTCACATAATAGAGACCATGTGAGGCATGTTACCCAACAATCCTTGGGTGAAGGGAGTATGAGAACATATGTGGCCTGCAAAGCTAACAGGAGAGTAAAGGCAGAGAGGCCAAATTAAAGCCACAGAAAAGACCACTTAGGTCACATCTAATTTACTCCTGGCTTTCTTCTCATTAAGACTGTTGTGGTTACTGCCAAACTTCTTATGAATGCGTTTGATATTTGTGAATTTAGTTTTCTTCAATGTCCTACTGCGAGTTTCCTCTATGCCTCATTATTTTGTAAAATGTTTCTTGCAATCAAATACTTTAGGCATTTTAGTCAACACCCAAGAGATGCACTTCACACAGTAGATGCAAATCCACATCCAGCACAGAAGTTGAAAACATGAAAAGTGAAGGAAGCCTCAAAAATCTCTATGTAACCACTCAAAGTGCAAAATAACTCCAGAGGCTTTCTGATCTTTTCAAGTTTTTAAAGTTTAATCAAGGCGGAAGAGTTATGGCATTTCAAAATTAATTACTAAAAAGTAATTAATAATTACTTAAAAGGCTTTTTTTGGTAAACAGTTTGATGTTTGAAGAATTTTCATAATATTTTAATTGGCCTCAGTGTAAGTCAAGATTTGATATTGACCAATTTTAAGAAAGCTATTTGGAAACCTGGAGATCAGGGTATGCAGGCACATGCACATGCAGCAATCTCATACTGGTTGGGCAATTTCTGCAAAACTTACAGTAACTGCCAAGACACAGCAGTACCTCTGTAGGCACCACAGAAGCACCACAGCATATCATAGAAATATGTTAAATTTAATTTGTACCCTCCTTTGAAAATTGTATATTAAAAATCTCCCTCTGCAGTCTTTTAAATGAGTGCCACTGCAAGTGCTGTAATCTACAAACTCATTAACAGAGATTAATCTACTTCTTGTCACAGAAACATAATGCAGACAATGTCCATCGTGCAACATCTACCTTTGTCAGGGTTATTTAGCTGGAAAATATCAGGATGCTCAGGGTCGTCAGGTAGTGCCACCATCCAGCCCACAATGGAGACTTTTTTACCAGGTGTAGATTTATACTGGAAGAGACATACGAGTCAGTCACAGCTGAGACTGTACTAGGGATTAATTTTTGACTGTAAAAGTTGTGCAGACATATGGCTTAGCCTGGAACAGCAAGTACACTTCAAGCACCCTTCCCGATTACTTATGAATATGTATTTTTGGTTTTAGAACAAATGTAAAGCTTACATGTTTTCTTTCAGTGCCTCTTAATGATTTTGCTCCAAAGTACAGAAGAGTTGATCCTGAAAGCATAACCCAGTATCTAGTCCACGAGGAGAGCTGAATCAGAAAGGAAAAAAATTAGGAAAAACTCTACATACCTCTGAAATTTAAAAAAGCTATTCACAAGCAAGTCCAAGTGCCACCAAAGTTAATTTCAGAAGCAAGGAATGGAGAGTTAGATAAACAGTGTCTCCTGGGGTAAATCAGCCCAGCTACCTAAATGTGGATGGACGGCTGTGAACACAATCCATCTTACTTGGGTATCTCATAAAAATATCTGGACTGATCGCTTCACAACAAAACAGTGTGCTGCCTTCTACTGGACAGATCTTAGACTTCTGCATTTGATCAGTAAAATTTATTGAGATGACATCTCTGCAATCGTTCCAACCTTTTAGCGCTGAACAGTAGGGTTGCACATAAGAAATATCACTGAGCTCTACAGAAAGCAAAAAATTACCAAATGTGTAGGACCAGAACCACGTGAAACCTGTGAATTTAGGTTAAGTATGAATTACCATGACTTTGGTGCTATGGGTGGATGCCCTGCAGCCTTCCCATTTCACCGTGATACTAAATTTCTGCCCTCACAGAAATGCATGCTGATTTACAGAGCTGCTTTACTCTTGCTCTGCTGTCACAACCTAGAGACATTACTTGCAAATGCAGGGAGAAGCAAAACCACTGTAGATCAAATGACATACAAAGGTTACAACCTTGTTATAACCCAGTTAAAACTGAACAGAAAATGATTTTACAATTGATAATAACAAGGAACATTGTTTTGTGTGGTATCAAGCTGCAGGTTTAACCTAATCCTGGAAATTAAACCAGCCACTACTGAATTAGAATTACAGGAAGAATTAGAATCACTTACAGTAGGTTTCTTGCCTTCTTTGAGCAATGTTTTTCTTCTTAATGGCCCTTCCATGGTAATGACTCCTGTGGAACTACCTAATGTGCAGCTGCAGGCCCCTGTTGGGCTGGAGAGATAAAACATTGCCATATGTATTTGAGCAAACAAATAAGGACAAGAAGCAAGCAATATAATTTAGCTCTAAATACATTTTTCTTGCATTGCCTTACATATATTGTATCATCTGACACCTGACTCTGTAACATGTATTTTTCCAGATCTAGATATCAAATAGGAACCAGCATCTTTGAAAAACAGCAAATCAACAAAAGGTTCTATTCTGGGGACTTAGACACGAAAAAATATAAATCAAAACAGAATAAATATTGAGGCCCAAAGTCAAAGGGAAAACAGGCAATTTTCTATTTCCTTCTGGTAAATTACAGAAATTATCTGGATTTCTGGAAACTTATGGCTTAAAATTTTGGCAATTAGAGCTCCCACAAATGTAATTTTATCTTAAAATAAACCTTAGCTATCAAAAAATAATGTACGAACTTACCTTGGCTATTTGGAAAAAAGTTGGGAAAACTATATAACAATGCCAAATAATTTATTGTACAGTGATTAAAATATTTTTTCCTTTCCCAGGACGAACATAGAGCTTCCCACATACAACAGTGAAAAAGTGCTGCAACTGAAAGAACCCAAGTACAGGCTAAGTTAGAAATGTAAGCAGCCATTAAGAACATAACAACCAAAGAGTGATTGGTAGGTGATGATCTGTCAGAATTATCTGCTGCTAACCTCTCTTCATTGCCATGTGATCACAGCCCTGATATTCTTATAAAGGCCAACGAAGTTTAACCAGAGCCAACTAAATCACATTTAGTAATGAATACCAGGAAAAGGACATGTATATGATCTACCATTCAGTTGTGACAGGAACACTATCCTGTCCACGAACAAGTATGATGGTGTCATAGAAACACACTGGTGAGCGATATACCCAGCAACACCACCTGTGCAAGAACAGCCCTTCAAACTGTCAGGTGCATCTTCTTTGATTAAATGGAATCGCCTTGTTTGTGCTAATGTGTATTCTTGCCGAAGATTCCAGAAAATGAAGATTGAATGCAAGCATTAGAATTACTTGACGGTGGATAAACGTAAGAAATGTACTTTAGCAAATAATTCTTCTTTGTGGATTTAATAGGCTTTTCACATTTTTATCTTCTTATATTTTGTTTCTAGCTTATACAATTTTTGAAACAAATCTACCATAGACCTGTTAAAAGAGTATTTTCCAGAAGCAGGTATAATAGCTGAAATATTGTTCCAAAATTTATTCCTTTACTTATTTATAATGTATGCATTTTTATTCTTGTCTGACGACTTCTAAGTTGTGCTGCTATCAGATGTTACTAGCTCAAGTAAAACGGCTGTACTTACATTTACATATTGTATCAACATTCTACAATGTTCTACAATTAGCAAACTAATTTATACAAAATAAAAACTGACTGGATTTAAACTCCAGCTAAATCTCAGTATTTGCAGAATACTGTTTCAGGGCCCTGTTTTCTTTACTGTTCATATATACTTCTTCACTTCTCACTACCACAGAATTTATCAAGTCCAGGTCAAGTAGGGATGCAATGAATGATTTTTATAGCTCTAACAATATACAATTTTCCACGTCACCTCTCTTTGGGCTGTAAATGGATTACCTCTTTTTGAAAAATCCATGTCTTAGTGACTAGCAACACTGGGAGTGCCTGCTACATATCACAGTGCAGATGTTCCCTCTCTTACTCGGGGTCCAAGGTAACACCTCTTTACTGTACAAAACCAACACATCATACTATAGCTCTCTGACACAAACAGTTGTTATGGATAGCTGTCCTGCAAATCAGGAAATAAATTGCCAGAAAGGATCAAGAAGGTATCCTTCTAGCATCATTATTTGTCATAGAAGGCAAAGATGGCCTTCATGACAAACCTGCTTCTGTAATGTCATAAAACCCAAAGTAAACACTAGTTTTATGCAATATGGAAGCCAGGTATAATTAGTTAAATCAATAGCTAAACTGAATTTCATCTCAGTGGGCCATACCCCTGCTTTAGCATTAATAGGAATTTTTACAATCAGGAGGGAAAGACTCCCATGAGTTGATACGGTCATACAAGGATACGTTTGGACACAAAATACCTTATGCTAGGAAAGCATAGAGAGCCAAATGAAAGTTTAGCACCATACACTGAGCAAGGCAGACCCTGAACTGTACCTGTAGACACAGCTTCGACTCCTAGGAGAATTCCGGATCGGTACCCTCCAGTTAGGCCCCAGCGTGGCATATAAACGACCCCTGTTTGTGAATGCAAATATCTGATGAGGGAAATTCCAGCCTGCGACTTCAACAGTTAGGGTTTGGTAAATGTGACAGAGATAGTTCCCAATCTTTTCAGGTCCATGGGAAGAAAACCACAATAACTTTACAGTGCTTTTTTTCAAAAAGTTTGCCATTTTTTCCTAACTAATCGATAATTTGATAAAAATAACTATTGATTTAGGGTTTACCTATGTTAGGGATCATTCATTAATTTCTTAGCTAAGTATGTAGAGTGCTCAGTGAGTGTACATGAAGACTAACTCACCTTTCAAGCCCTGACGGCAGCTCCTCACTAAATTCTGAGCTTTCACTGCTATCTAGAAAGAGAGTAGTACAGAGAAGGAGTAAGAAAACCACCCAAGGGAAAATACAAAGCCAATGTATGTGGACCACCAGAATAATCTTTATATAGTACCATAGAAATTGCTTACTCAAATGGTGTTTCAAAGTTGAAGTCTTTAGAGTTCATGGTAAAATCTAAAATTGGAAGAGGCTTACATGAGCCTTCCCATTTATAATAGCTCACTGATGAATGAAGTCATGGTTACTGCTGTGTTTAAATACCAGACATCTACATGTTACTTTAATTTTCATTATGCTGCTTTTCCTTCAAAAGCTGAGCACTTCAGGAACACAAAATCCAGTTACTCTGTAAGACAGCATTTCTACCGCAACATCTGTAAGTTGCTAAAGTTATTAGACATGATATCATTGTTTGTTTTCAACGAGCAAGCACACCTGTAACAGAGGATATGCCAGCTGTATGCTGCTCCTAGGAGCCGTAACAAATCAGTATGATGGTATTCACAATGATAGTCCCCATTTCTCTTCCAAGCCCATGACCGATTTGTCCCTCCTTCCATGGCACACCTGTTTAGCTCAGTTTTAATTTGCCCAGGACTGATCTTCTAATGCTCAGTATAACAGAGTGAGCTGTGCCTGTATTTTCAGAAGTTCAAAGATCACCTCAGTGTCAAACTCTTCTTGGTCAAGTAACCTGCTATCCTTCACAGTCTATTTCCTATTCTAGAAATAGCCTGAGTCACTTAGAAGATGGCTTTCTCTTGCTTAGAACACAGAATCTCGATTACTTTATTATTATTTTATTAATTATAATACCATAATGTAATTGTCATCATCCTCTTTCACAAGTTCATTTTATGTTTCTTTTGACGTCTCAGAGCACAGCTAAACTATTCTCCCATCTTCTAAAATATATTGTTAGAATTAGTTTTCTTTGTGAAAAGACAGCTTTCAAAATATATATCCACTTTTCAGTAGCACTTTTTTTTTTTTTTTTCCCTGGTGAAAGCTGACAAACACTCTGTGTCAGATACAGAGCATACACAAAGACAATCTTTCTTCGTGCCACCTTTCCCAAAACCATCAGTAGGTAACTGAGGAAAGCTGAGATAAAGTGGACCAGGTAGCTGAGCAGCAGTTCTGATCTCCTTTCTTCCACGAAAGGGACCAGTCTTTGCACAGGAGCTAACGATCTTCCTAGTTCCCTGCTTCGGGGGTATCTCTGCGAGTTTCCAGAGCAAAAAAAAAATTCCCCACACAGACCCTACCTATGGAAAGGCCGTTGGTGAAAAGCGAGCCCAGCGCCTGGCCGCGGGCCGGGCTGTGCGACTCCAGGACGCTGTCATCCAGGAGGTGGCGCGGCTTCTCCGTCGGGAAGGTGGCGCTTTTGCTCTCCACCACGCTGAACTGACACATCATGCTGGAAAATTGGACAGAGAGAAATGCAAAACTCCTCTTAATGTCACCTAATAGCAACCCTTGGCTCCCGGCATTTCTGCTCAGACTTTGCCTTATCAACAGGTTATGAAGTAGCAGGCAATTAAATGGTACTGCTCACGCTTTCCCTCTGCCGTACGTATGCTTGACTACCAAAACACGTTTCAGATTTTAGTGGTCTTTGTAAGAAACAGTTATTAAATTTCTGCAGACGGGAAGTTTTAATTTTTTTTTTCTCCCTGTACAAAACCTGAACACCCTGGGTGGAGGCAAAGGTAGAAAACCAGAAAAAGCAGACCCTAGCTAAGCTGCTGCTTCGTGGTCCTTCACTAAGCTGAACTAACACATCAACACTCTATGACCTTGGACAAGTCACGTGAACTTCTTTTTCCCTAATCCATTAACTGTGAAATTTGGTAGAGGCTGAAACCTTAGCTGGGAAGCAGGTGATCTCACTTAGCTGGGTAAACGGTAGAGAAAAATGTTTCTAATCCATATTACACAGGTAAAACAGTGCAAAAGCTCACAACCTTCTTGAATGATAAGGTGTGCCAAGAAGCTATTAAGTTTCCTTAGAGGTACTAGCAAGATATTTAAAAAACAAAAGAAAAAAAAAAAAATCAGGTATTCACACCAGGAATCCACAGACCAAAGTGGATATACAGCTTTCAAGTACTGCCAACCTCTGGCACTAGCAGAGAATAGAGTCAGCAAAAATAACAAAGTGTCCAGAGAAAACTGAGAGAATACACAGTAAAGCCTGAAGCACTCTTGCAATACAAGAAATGGAAGGGACAAATACCAGAGTGTTCTGCTGCTATCTTAAACCTTTGTGATGTGTGAAATTGCCTGAGCGTGAGACAGCCTGGAGTACCCACTTGTTTCCCAGGCTGTGACTCTTCCTGTGCCTTGGTACAGGAGGTGTCGGTAGACTTGCTGCTACTGAGGCATCAGGACACGTGGGTCTCC